AAATTGGTAGAAAATATGGAGATTTTTTAGAGAAAAAATTGGGAATGATAGCAAAAGTGCTCGGAGGGCGAGTAGGAAAACAATGTAGAGATACAACCATCTTCGTCCTAATATCAAGGTGATCTTTTTTTCAATATTTCAATCCTTCTTTATATATATGCAACATAGACAAGCGGCCTCAAAATAATCAAATTTGGATAGATTTTGAAAATTTCACAAGTAAAACCACGGTAAAATAATTATGTAATTTCATAGATAGTTTGTGTTATAAATATAAACTTACATATTTTTAAACATGTTACACATGAAAACAATTTTTTTCTTCTTTCCGTATGTTTTCTTTTATTTGCCTTTTATATGTATCGTACGAAAGGAGATTATACATAAATAAAAATTGATGAAAAATTATTCAGAATCTCAACTAAAAAAATAGTAGTAAATAAGTAGAAATATTATATTTATTAAAGGTAACTAGGTTAGTACCCCTTTTTTACAATTAGTGTAATAAGTTATTTACTTCATTTACGAGGTTCCATCAAGCCGGAGAAAGATAGCAATGTTTTAATCTTCATAAATCTACCAAACATTAAGAGAGAACATATCGAATAGAAGTTTCCAATGATTTGTGCGGTTTCCTCAAGAAGTTTTCGTTGGTGGAGAAGATCCAGTAGTTGATGCAAGAAAGTGTGCATGGTAGTAATTTTAGGATCATATTAGCCATCGGTTCCTCGGTGTGATTTTTCTTCTATCATTTTGGTTGTGTTATGTTTTAATCAAGATTTACTTTGCGTTTTTTATTTTTCTTTCATAATCCTTTAGTTGTTGATTTGATACCATAGCCCCTATTATTGTGCGTGGAACCGTTTCGATTCTTTGTAACCGTCAAGGCCTATTGGTAAACAGTCAGAACCTTTTCAATTCTTTCTAACCGTTAATGCCTTTTGGTAAACGGTAGATTGGCTTAAACTTTTGGAAGAAATAACTCTTCAGTGTTAAAACAAAACAATACAATCATCATTCTTCATCAGAATTGTCTTTGTTGTTTCTCCAAGTTTTGATATTTCTCTCTCTAGGATTTTGTAAAATTTCCATGTATTTGTGATTTTCTATATATTCTTTTCGAATTTTTGAACCTTGTATGTAGATCTTATATTTTTGTTTTGATTTTTGTAAAATCATTATAATCATCGTTGGAATTGATTTCATGTCCAAATGGAGTTTTCTTTAAAATTTTCCAATGAATATTTTATCATAAATAATAATCAACAGACTCTTTTCAAAAAGGATGTATCTCGTATAGAGGAACATTATCTTATTTTGTTAGTGATAGTTTAGGTCAATCATGTTTCAATGGATGGACTCCTCCACCAATTCATAATGATGTTTATAATCCACAATCAGCAAAATTTGATACCATTGATCCCAAACAAAAATTATGGTCCCCTCAATATTGGAATTTTGTTATTACTCAAAATTGTTCGGTTTACGACTTTTTTTTCATATGAAATACCATTAGAATATTCAATTACGAGCATCAATTCCTGCTCAAGATATGATACTTTGGAGAATAAATGAATAACATAATGAACAACAATAAAAACTATATGACATGTAACACCTCAATCTCTGTAAAACTTAAGGGTCTATTCAACAATATTTTTATGATTTTCGACGAAATACTACGTGGGATGATACTATACACAATGAAGAGCTTATCACCAGTGGTTATCAATCACTCCATAATAATATCATTACAGAATCTCATCTAATTTTCCTTCATGTGTAAGAGGGAATAGAATTCAAAACTAGAGAAATAACAAATTGACGTCAAGATCATGCAATCATGCAATATATAGTAAAAACCAAGCAGAAGAAATATATGAAAGTGGTGATGAAATGTAAACCTTTTAAGAAAGCTAACATCGTCAAAGATTAATGAATTCATGAGGAGGACATGTAAGTCTGCATCTTTTATTTATTTATTCATAAGTATAAAAACTAAATCTTAATTTATACTCCATCATTAAAATTATCAATATTTATATATTCTATATTTTATGAGGATGTGATAATATATGTATGTGTTGGGACATGTAATATATAGAAAATTGGTAGAAAATGTGGACTTTTGTGGGAGAAAAAAATTGGGAATGATAACAAAAATGCTCGTATCTCGAATATGAAAACAATGTAGAGAGAGGCGGCACAACCATCTTCGTCCTAATATCAAGGTGATCTCTTTTTCAATATTTCAATCCTTTTAAATATACATATATGGATGTGTAGAATGTGTAGGAAAATATAAGCATAGATGCAATATAGGGAAACGACCTCAAAACTGTAAAATTTAGATGGGTTTAATAAAATCTCACAAGTAAAACCTTTGTAAAATAATTACTAATTTCAGAGATAGTTTGTGTTATAAATATAAACTTCAATGTTTTTAAACGTGTTACACATGTAAACAATTGTTTTCTCCTTTTAGTAGTTTTCTTTTCTTTGGCTTTCATATGTATCATATCAAAGGAGATTATAAAACAAAAAAAATTGATGAAAATTATGCATAATCCATATTAAGAGGGTAGTAATAAATATATAGAAATATTATAATCTATTAAAGGTAACTAGGTTAGTACCCGTGTTTTTGCACGAGTTTAGTTGTAACCGTTGAATTAGTGTAGTAATTGTTTTTACTTCATTTAGATGTATGTTGAAAAACAATTAGTATCATTATGTTTTTTTTTAATTCGGATTGAATGAAAATTATCCGTAATATGATTTAAAGTTTAACTTAACTATTAAAATTTACCTTTAGAATGTTCGGCTCACAAAGTTGCTAGCAACAAATGGTCGAGAATGCTCAACAACTCCATGGACGAAACTAAAACGCTATTAAGAACCATTGAAAAAAATTAAAGGAGTACATAAAATCTTTCACTTAGAGTCTCACCATCTCTCATTGATTGTTATCAACAATTTTAACAAAATTGAATTTGTTCTCTCAACGACTTGAAAATAACTTTAACAATCTTTAAGGTCGACATTATCATCAAAAAGTGG